TGAATGGATGGAAAACTTTAAAGAACACTGAATCCCCACAAAGTCCTCTTTTCCTCCAGAGATCCCTGCGGCCCTTGTGGAAGTGTGGTTTACTAAAGTCAGCACATCAAAGCCAGGTGATTAGTCTAAATTCCCACAAGGTCGCAAGTAATAATGAGGCTCATTGCAAGAAGTGGATACCATGGAAAGTGCGGGTACATTTTTAAAATCCAGCTGATGAGTCTCTGACTTTTAAGAGTAAAAGATGCAACAGTGTACACTGGTCAGAGTCCCGAGTTCCAGGCTGGCTCTCAGATGTCACTGCGGCGGATCTGCCCTCGTGCAGGGGCAGAAGGGCCCGCTGATCCCGCAGAGGCTGTCTGGAGAACCGAAGGGTTCTTCCACAGGCGGAATTGCTTTGTTTGGGTAGACAGCCAGAAATAGCAGTAACCAATACGCCCAGCCTTTGGGGTCAAACAGGGTTTGCACCCTCGTCCACAACCCACCAGCTGTGTGTTCCTAGGCACGTAACTGTTCTGAGCCTCGACTTCTCCGGCTAGAAATACAATTCTGCAAAAATAACACTTGGGTGCTATGATGGTGGGAACGATTAAATACGATCACATAGGAAAAATCTCTTAAACAGCATCTGGCACATAGTAAACAGTAAATTTAGATCCCTTTTCTGAACAAGAAATGGATCAAACACCTAAGCTCAAGGCACTGTGCTCTGGGTCACAAAGATGAATGACACATGCACTCTGTCCTCAAAACCTACACTTTAAATTCCACTACTTGGTATTTACTCAACAGAAAGAAATACATTTGTCTACAAAAAGACTTGTCCACAAGTGTCCATGGCCTTTATTCAAAATAGCCCCAAACTGGAAATGACTCAAATGTCCATCCACAGATGTACAAATAAACTAACTCTGACAATCTCCTACTCAATGGGAAGGAACAAACTATTGGTACCAACATGGATGAATCTCCAAAACATTTTGAGAAGGGAGAGAAGCCAGAGAGAAAAGAGTAAACAGAAGTTCTAGAACGAAAACTCCATAGTGTCAGAAAACAGAGTGGAGGTTGCTGGGAGAGAGGGGAGGGGAGAGACTAGCTGCCGGGAAGCACAAGGGAACTTTGGGGGTGAACGAAATGCCCTGGCTTGCTTGGGTGTTGGTTACAGGAACACACACGTTTGTCAGAACTCATCAAACTGTGCCATGGAATAGTAAGAAGTAAATCTCGTCTTGGCTTCCAGTTCTGGCAAAGAGCTCTCAAACACCTTGGAGTGTCCTGAGTGATGGGACCATCTTTTTTTTTCCTTTATTGATTTTGGAGAGAGAAGAAGTGAGAGGGAGAGAGAGATAGAAACATCGATGAGAGAGAACATCGATTGGCTGCCCACTGGGGATCTGACCCACAATCCGGGCATGTGTCCTGACCGGGAATAGAACTGGTGACCTCTTGGTGCATGAGTCGATGCTCAACCACTGAGCCACACCGGCCAGACAGGACTATCTTTTGTTATTTACGGTGAGCCCTTCTAGACCATGAGGTGACTCGTGAGGAGTGGGGGGATCTAGATAGCTTAGGATGGGAGCTGGTCGCCAGAAAAACCAACCACGTGATTAGGTTCGAACGTTCAGCTCATCCCACCCCCTCTCCGGGGAAGCGAGAGGAACTGGAGATCGGGCTCCAGCACCAATGGCCAATGATTTACGCAGTCATGATTGCGAATGATGAAAGCTTGATGGAAACCTCAGAAAGATGATTTTGGGGGAGTTTTCCGGTTGCTGAACATGCAGTGTACCATGAGGGCGGCGCACCCCTACTCCACCAGACAAAGGTCCTGCACTCTGGACCCTTCCGGACCTTGATCTGGGCATCTGTTCATCTGGCCATTCATTTGTGTCCTGTATAATAGACTGTAATCATAAGTATTGTTTCCCTGAGTCCTGTGAACCATGTTCGTAAACTCACTAGAAGGGGGTTCCATTTCCTCTATAACTGGTCACAGCCACAGCGAGCAGCCTGGGAACTCAAGAAAGAAGGAAACGGACTGCCCCCTGACGGTTCAACTAAGAAACCAGGCAGCTGAGGATACGAGTCACCGTCCTCCAGGGCCCGAACTTCTTGACCGCGCGTCAAGTCTAAAGACAGAATCCGTGGACCAGAGGAGCCCAAGAAGGAGGCGCTCTGAAGGAGGGGTGCACACTGCCCACTGCCCGGCCAGGCACTGTCCAGGGGGCGAGGCCATGGTCCAGGACAGAGAGAAAGATGTGTTGGGAAGGCTGCTCCAGGGTTCGGAGTGGAACACAGGCAGATCTGACTCCCAGCTTGGCCATTTCCAGGCTGTGACCTTCCACATGTACTGAACACACCCCTGCCTCAGTTTCCTTACCTATAAAACAAGGGTGGTGTCCACCGCATCGGGTTGCCATAGGGATTACGTGAAGCCCTCAGTACAGAGCCTGACGCATAGCAGGCTCCTGGTAAATGTTAGCAAACAAAAACACTGTGAAACACAATAACCAGCAGTCTGATTTCAATCCTAAACTGAGTTTGATTCATGTGAGCTCTGTTAATACTTCTCTGAGGAGCTAGACCCATTTAGAGGCTAAAGGAAAATCCTGCAGCATCATCAAGATTGTCAGTAGGTGGTCAGTTGCTGACTGCCTTCAGATTCCTTCTCTGTGTAACGCAAAGCTGTGAAGAACAATCGATCACTGGTTCTAATGGCTTTCAAGAAGGCATAATATTTTACCCATAATAAATTATCTTGAATAAAAGCCTTATAAAAAATACACTAATTAATTGACCAATTGGTGTGGAGGTTTTCTGTGCGTTCGTTTTTCCTCTGTCTGGCTGACAAAGACCTTAAGCCCACATTCTGATGTTGACAGTACCCTAACTTGTTCAGTGGCCAGGGGACTCTATCAAGAAGCTTGTGTTCTGTCTCCACCTAATGGTCATTCTCTATTATTACAATTTACTAGGGTCATTTCACTTACCCTGCTTGCACAGGTGTAACAGTTACACCACTTTTGAAAGAATACAGTTTTAAATATTCCTCAAGACCTTTGCAGGCGATACAGTTCATTCTCTTTCTGTACCTGTCACAATTAATCTAGAAAACTAACACCTCCATGACAACCACAAAGCATCCATATTGCATATCTTGGGTCCTGGTTCCAAATGATTGCGACCCACAGAATACAAGAGGGGGAAGGGCAGAGTGGAGAAGGAAACACTTAGTTCAGTGGTTAGAAAAAAAATGCCTTCAAAATTTGATGTGCTTGCTTTTCTAATTAAAAAATACAAAGCAAATAGTTACTATGAATGTTTAGGCCTCCTGGAGACTAATACACCAAACTCTTTGAACTTCTATAAGCTTCAAATCATACATAATTACATATCAATCACATAATTGTTCCATTTTTAGGTCTTGTCTGTTTTACTCAGGATTATTTTGCTTCATTTGGGTTTTTCTTTATTCTATTTTTACATATTCATAATGCTATTTGGTTTCCAGAGACTTCCTGTACTGATAAAGCACATAGGTGTTTTTTATTATATTTTGCTACTGCACAGTCCATGTTTGGGGACTTTCTTCACTATGCCACTGGGCCACCAGCCATAGAGATTAAACCAAATCTGCAAGAGAACTTGTCCTATTTATACGGTATTGCTGTCTAAGTAACGTCTGCATTCCAATAATCCCGTAAAGAGAATGAAGTGTGAATGAATAAAAATACTCTCCTACGATGCTCCTTTATGAGGACAAAGACAACGCAAGGAACAAGTAATCCAATTTAAATAAGGGGTCTGGTTTGTTCTCTTTGCTTATTAGTAGCACAAACGCTTCTTTTCATTTTCAAATGTGAGTGATAGAAGGAAAGTTGGCAACGAGCTAAATAAATCTTTGTCCACCCACGTCACGGAGACCAGGGCAGCCTGAAGGGCCGCCGGGGCGCGAGGCTGTCTGTCCGGGCTGCTGCAGCTCACACACACTTTCAGCGGGACATGGTTTACCGCAGTGAAGCACAAATAGAAATTAATTTTTAATTAAGTGAATTTCCATCTCACTGAAATCGCTCACCTACTTTTACCAAAGGGAGGAATGTGTTTAAAGTCATCTGTGTCAACTATTCAGAACAAAATCATCTTAATGCACTTCAAAATGCCTTTTTTTTTTACTGGGGTCACCAGGAAAGAGCTGTCTTCCAGAGTTCCTGGGATCCACCAGCTCCTGCCACCACAGGAAACTCTCTCAAATGACACAAACAGCTTAGCTGACAGGTGGCAGATTCGGGAGGAGGAGTTTATGGCCACTCCAAGTTAAACTGCGGTAATTGTCCTTAAGTCGGGAAATCATCCTTCCAGCCAGGAGACAGGCTGTTCCAACAGTACAGAAGCAACGTTTGCCGCAAGGAAGATACAAGGACTAGCACATTCACCGGGCAGGGGGTGTCAGCAAAATCTTCCCCAAAAGAAACATACCTGTGATAAACGGAGGTGGTGCAGGTGAGCTGAGAAACATATCAAACCTACCTGGTGACCAAGTCATCGGGGCTGGACCAGCTCTTGGAGAGCAGACGCTCTGGCATCAGGAGGCAAAGTGACAGGACCCCGCTCAGCATGTGCAGCCGTGGCTGCAGGTCAATCAGCAGCAGGAGAGAAAGCAGCAGCCACGCCCTTCAGCACAGAAGCAAGAAGGGGCCCTGGGTTGCGAATTTATTTGTCCTAATTATTATCCCCACATATGTGGATGATAGTGTACCATTTCGATAAGGCTTCAGAGCTGATGCCCTCAGCGGTGCCTGTGATCCAAAACACGACGTAACAAGATTGGCGTCATTTGAAAATGCGGACCAAATACCCAGTGAAACGAGCAACACCCGTCCCCACGCAGACAGAAAAGCGCCGCTGAGGCTACGGATGTGGCAACAGGCAGACTGAGTTCGGCCACATACGAATGGAGACCAAAACCAAAAAATCGAATGCTCCTTGGGAACAGATCTTTGCTATTAATCTTTATTGGTACTTGTTCTCTGGAAAGCTCTTTATTGCAAACGCCAATTCTGAGACAAGTAGCACAAGGCACAGAGTTGCTTTGTCAAAGCACAGAGGGACGTTCTATATTTTGAAATCCTTTTTTTTTCAGGGTATTAGTAAGAAGGTCTATTCACACAGAGCACAAAGGAAAAGAAAAAAATTAAGCGAAGGCCAAAAATGTTAGGCCCCTGCAGGTATGCTGCAGTCTTGACACTGAATCACGTTGATGTGGTGAGGAGAGCCCCGCGTACACCCAGCCACGTCAGGTAGCTCAAGTCCTCGGCGAGCCCCAGAGGTACTGACAGGTGGGCGAGCTTCAGGCCAAAGCGCTTGTTGAGTTTGGTTTGTGGGGAGACGGTTGACATGTTGCTTCACGACGGGTTTTCTAAAAGAAAGGGAAAATATGAGGGAGGTGACTGTTAACGGGAGACAGAATGTTCAGCGCCATCTTCGTGATTTATCACGCAAGGAAGGACTGACTGCCTTTCGTTCCATAAACCACTGCTCATCCTTTGTTCCCTGGTGCAAGAAAGGAAATGTTTCTCACGGGAAATCATACCAGGTTTATCTCTCTCTCTGCATTAGCACATATCACACGCCGTTAAGGACGGTGACACCTTCGACCGTGGTGACCCCGCTGCATTTTCATGGAAAATGAATGGAGAGGGTCTGTTTACAGCCTCGTCCTGGCGGAGGAGGTTTAAGTGGCCATGGCAGACCAGAGCACAGTAGTCAGTAGCAGCCTCTCAGGGGGGAGAATTCAGTCTCGTGCTACATGTCGTTTCTCCTGGGGCACCAACTGAGCATCAGTGTCAAACACAGGAAATAAGGTTTCATTCATAGTTCCATGCTATGTTCTCCCTAAAAACCATCTTTTCAAATAACATGCTTGGAATGGCCATGACCGATGAGATGGGCTTGTCTTTGGAAGCTCAGTGGTTTGCTGAATGTCAGACTGTGTTGCCAGGTTACATTTTAAAGGACCCTGAAGCTCTCCAGGGGCGGGAGGTAGGGAGCTGTCTGATTCACTCCTTCACTGTCAGGCGTTTTGACCGCACAACAGACAGCTGGGGACTGGGTTCCCAACTAGAAGCCATCAGAAAAACTGCTCAAATGTGCTGGTCACAGCTGCAGTTGCCTTTTTTTTTTTTTTTTTTTTTTTAAATCAGCCTATAAAGCCATCTGGCTCCATGAAGGGTTCTCTCCCCGCTGTGCCATTTCACATTCAATTTTTCTTTTATAATTACCACATTAAAGTTACATACTTCTTAAAGAACTTTACAGTCAGAGTGGATAGAAATGGATTTAAACATGAGTCTTTTATTGTGGGTTTGGTTTGGTTTGGTTAAGAACAAATATCAGCATATTTTCTTCCAACCTTCCTTCCCATGAACTTCTGAATAGTAACCTTGCTGATGTTCTTTTTTCAAAAATGGGTCCCAACCTTTTCCTTAAATATGGGATTAGGGCCCGGCCAGTGTGGCTCAGTGGTTGAGCATCGACCCATGCACCAAGAGGTCACCAGTTCGATTCCTGGTCAGGGCACATGCCCAGGTTGTGGGCCAAATCCCCAGTGGGGGGCATGCAGGAGGTGGCCAATCGATGTTCTCTCTCATCATTGTTTCTATTTCTCTCTCTCCCTCTCCCTTCCTCTCTCTCTAAAAAATCAATAAAGAAAAAAAAGTTTAAAAAAAAGTGGGATTAGGGACACTAACTAATAAGACTGACAGCAGACTTTTCAATAGTAACAACAGAAGAAAAATAAGATAAAAAAGCTCGTGTCCAAAATGATAGCCTTAGGCCCTAAAGTAGAAATCTGTGCACCCAGGACATGAGGGAAACCACCTGGGAGAACCTCCTATGAGGGGCTAGATTTGCTGTACAATTTAAATAAATGAATAAACGAGTGATGAGACATTCATGGTCCAATAATAAAGTGTGATGGTTACTCTCACCAGCTCTAAGATATCCTCAAAATGTATTAAGCTCCAAGATTTTATATTAGTTCCTCATGCCTATGCTAAGTAAGTCCTGAGGGGAGGTTTGCGCTACTGGCATTGGTCTGTGGTACAGAGAGCGGTGCAAGTCCTTCGCGGGTGTTTACCAAGCACCGGGGACTTCTTGTTTCTTCTCCGGCGGAGCCCTCCGTCCACCGTCACCAGACGGGCCTCCACCGCAGGGCCTCACGAAGACCTGGGGCGTGGTGGAGGGCTTGCTCCCCCCTCCTTCCCTGCGCCCCGACAGCAACGGCCCCAAATCTCTTACATATGTCAGCGGGAGCATAATATGCACAGTAAGGTGACCTTAAAAAATTCTTCGTTATAATTAAATTTTAAAAAGAACCCTTGTAGCACCAGAGCAAACGGCTGCCTCGATGTGGTGGCAGGGCCAAATGATAATGATACGTTCACACAGGTATTTGCTCTGCGACTTGTAAAAATTGCACTTAATGATCTTTAGGTATTTCCACACATTCCCTTGTCCGTATGGCCCCTGACATCTGAGCATCTCCTCCGTGTTCCTATAGCCACCATCACTAGACACTGTCATTATCTTAGGAATGCATTCATGCGGCACGTAACCAGACCGCTGAGGATCACAGCATTGTTTCTCACTGTCAGACGTTTAAACCACAAGGCAGCCAGAGCCTGTCAAACATCCCTGAAGTGACGTCACTAGAGTCCACGGTGTCTCCACACGAGTGTTCTGGTTAATATTTAATGAGGGAATACATAACAGCAAGCTCTTATCACGAAACACTTGGCAGCAATATTTGCCTTTCACGAACGACAGCCAGCTTGGTGGTTTTTTGTTATAACTTATCGCCATCATTATGGACATCGACTGTCATTCCCTACAAACATGTAGGCGTTCTGGTCAGGAGAGCAGGCCATGCAGGGGAAGGCTGGCAACAGAACACTGCACCTTCACAAATAAAGGTCACATGGAGAAAATAAATACAGAACAAGCTCTTCCTCCCAGTACGCTTCTGCCTAGAACACATGGGCCACGGGCTTCCATGCCCCAGTGGCCGAGCAATGAACGGCCGGATAGAGCTCACCAGCCTGTGGCTCCTGCAAGGCGCAGCCAAGCCTTGGGGAGAGGGACGGAGAGGTTTGAGCTACAGTCCATTTCCATTCCCACTGAGATGTGCATGCAGAGCACACCGCAACAGACAAGCTTTCAGCGCCGGGACTAGGTGGCTACCTGGAAAAGTTGAAGAAACAAAGCATGAAAAGGCCTAAGAGTCTTCGCCTTCTTCTCCTGGTTCTTCTTCTCCTTTTTCAGCTTCCTCTTCCTCTGCCTCCCCTTCTGCTCCCTCCTCGGTTACTTCTCCCATCTGTTTTGAACAAAAATTGCGTTATTTGTATTTTTATTCATTCATTGCTCATCCTCACCTGAGGATTTTTTAAAAAATCTTTACTCCTGAAAGTATTTCAGATGCCCCCCCCCCTTGTTTCCTCCATTGACCCCCTGCTCCTTGCCAAGGATATCTTTTCCACTGATTTTTAGAGAGAGTGGAAGGGGAGAGGGAGAGAGAGCGTGAGAAACACCCATGTGAGAGAGACACATCACATCACATGTGCCCCAACCAGGCCCAGGGATCAAACTTTCAATCCAGGTACATGCCCTGGGCTGGGAACCAAACCCATGACCCTTCAGAGCATGGGCCAAAGCTCTACCCACTGAGCAACACTAGCCAGGGCAAAAATCGCATTATTATTGAGAAGAATTAGGGTCACTGATACAAGGAGCAAAGGAATGTAAATCTCAGACTAGAGTTGAGGGCCTCCCACACTCCTCACCCAACACACACACACCAAACACATACCACACACACACATACACACACACACACAAAACACATACAATGTACACATACAAAACACAACACATACACAATGCACACATACACAATACAAACCACACACAACAGAAACCACACACACATACACAACATAAACAACACATACCACATACACATAATACATAACACACATCATGCACACATACACAACACACAACACAAACCACACACACATACCTAATATAAAGTAAACCACATACACAACACACAACACAAACCACACACACATACCTAATATAACATAAACCACATACACAACACACAACACAAACCACACACACATACACAACACAGCACAAATCACACACATACACAACACAACACACACAATAAACACAGAACATAAAAACCCACAACACAGAATGCACACATACACAACAGACAACACATGCAACACACAATAACTCAAACATGCATGTACATGCCTATAACACAAAACATGCATATAACATACAACGGACATGGCACACACATGCAAAAAAGCACACAAAGAACTTCCTTGGTCTCGACACCTTTTCTTCATTTTCTCCCTACTCATTTGCCATTTCTCATTTCAATCACCAAAAAAAGTAAGGGTTTGGGGTTTTTACCAAACACAAGTTCCTAATATAAAATAAATATTATTGTCTTTGAAATTAGATGGACTTTTTATTATGAGCATCAAAATAGTAGTTCTTGGAATTGACCTCCACTTGGCAACACATCAGGGTACCTAGAACCTAGGTTGGTCCTGGCCAGGTGGCGCAGTTGGTTGGAGCGCCGTCCCATACATAAAAGGTGGAGGTTTAATCCCTAGTCAGGGCATATACCTAGGATGTGGGTTTGATCCCCGGTCAGGGTGCATACGGGAGGCAACTAATTGATGTTTCTTTCTGTCTCCCCCACCCCCCACCCCTTCCTCTCGCAGAGGTTCGGACCCAGTAAGTAGATCTAGGTACGGCTTGAAAATGTGTTTCCAGAGGTTCCCAGAGGAGGCTCCTGCTTCTGCTCTGGGAACCTCGCTTTGAGAACCCCTGCTGCAGTCTATATTCTGTCTTTAATCACCGATTATCTGATTGATAACTAGAGCTTGATGAGTACTCACAACTAGTAGGTTTGGCATCCCCACCCACTGAAGTCTGCATTTACCAGGATGGGTTATATTTGTTCCCACATTGTGTGTGCAAATTAGAGTCTTACTGTAATTATATAATTTGAGTACATATCATGGAAATCGATGAAATGTGAGCATGAAAAGAATGGGTTCTCTTATGCAAACTTAACAGAATGCTTTGGAAATACCCAATATATGTAAAGCCACCTTAAAAACATGTCATCACATGAGGTGTCAAAGGCAGAGGTTGGCAGGGAGGACCCAGGAGTCTTTATCAATACCTGAATTGACCTTAATTGCTTGAAAGAGATACTAAATAGAGAAAGTAATTGCTCAGAGAATGTACAGAAATACCTAGCCTCAGAGGTCAAGTAGGCCTTGAGGAACCTTCGACATGACCGTGACTGGCTCCATCAGAACATGGGCTCTGGGAGCAGGGACTGTCATTTTCACGCTCTGTGGGATTCTGCCCGGCAGCTGGCAACAGTCTGCCTGGCGACCTGATGTTGAATGAATGCATCTATGTAGCCACTTCTGCCTCAAATCCCTTAGGGAGAAGAAGGTGGGATAGTCTGACCAATAAGAACTCCGACGTCCCTCCTTAGCTCACAGTATTGCAAAATATCGGAATTAGGCAGAGCCTTACCTACATACAACGCTTGAAATGACTTCATGGTTGGCAGATAATTAACTGACAAAAAGGTTTTCTTTTAAGATAATTATAATCACATGGTCAAGCTCTCGTACAATCTCGGGCAGAGCGTAAACCATTCCCTTGACAAAGCTGCAACGTTACCTTGCATCACTGTTTTACCAAGAAAGCTAGTTCAGGAAGCCTCGGGAGTGGGGAGTCTGTGGTGGTGGGAAGGTGGCCAGGGAGGCAGGCGGCGGAGGTGGCGCGTGGCCAGGGGCAAGGACAGCTGTCAGCTGTGGTGGTGTCAGGCCGGGCCGCTCAGGACAGGTGGCTGGTGTGGAGGGAAGCCGAGGGCTGGCGGGGTGACCTGAGGAGGGCTGCTGGCCTGGGGGTGGCCGGCGGTCAGGGCAGACCTGCGTTCTCTGGTCCTCAGACATCACAGGGAGCCCGACCCGGAGCCCCTGGAGGGCTGGGCCGGCGCCGTTCTCCCGGAGACACCTTTCCTCCAGACGGGTTGTGGAGGGAGCTGAGCGGGGGCTTACAGACCACAATCAGGCCAAGGTCTTAAACGATTTTGGAGAGGACTCGAGTGGGCCAAGAACCCAACTTAAAGCCATTTTACTTCGATGAGAACCGAACACAAACCTGAGCCAGCCTCCCCGTTTTCGGGGTTCACGAAGTTCTCGTGATGCCCAGTCTGCACCTCCTTCTGAGAGAGTGCCCAGAAGCTGGGGGGCCTTCTGCTTTCCTCCTTCACTCCTCGGGTACCATTCACAGGTCCCCCTCCCCTTCAGTCCCTCCTCGCTCCCAGATCTCCTCTGGCACGAGTTAAAGGTCATTTCAGCGCCCCCATCCCGCCTCCCAACGCTGCCCCGCGCTGGCAGCAAGCAGCTGGCACACATCTTGGCACCTGGGGTTAAGAACCCTGGGGACTTGGAGAGGTGGTCGGGGAAGGTCCATCAATATTCTTAGATAAATATTTCTCCCCATTGAAAGGGCATCATTTGAGTGTGCATGTGCATGTGTACGAAGTGAACATGTGTACTGCGTGTGCATGTGTACTCAGTGAGCATGTGTACTCAGTGAGCATGTGTACCGCGTGTGCATGTGTACTGAGTGTGTGTACTGCGAGTGCGCGTGTATGAGTGTGCATGTGTACTGAGAGCGTGTGCACTGAGTGTGCATGTGTACTGAGTGTGCATGTGTACTGTGTGTGCATGTGTACTGAGTGTGTGTAATTAGTGTGTGTGTGTACTGAGTGCACATGTGTACTGAGTGAGCATGTGTACTGAGTGTGTGTAATTAGTGTGCGTTGTACTGAGTGAGCATGTGTACTGAGGGAGCATGTGCAACTGCTGAGATCAGGTGAACAGTCTCATACCCCAGACTCGTGCTCAGCTGCTGTATCACTCAGCTGGACACTCGGCTCCTGAGGGAGCTGTTACCATTGCACACTTGACAGTGCTTCTTAACACACAAGTGACAGGTTTAAAAATGGTGAACACATTGTACTGGCCAGTTTGGCTCAGCGATCAGAGCACTGGCCCCCAGACCAAAGAGTCACGGGTTCCATTCTGGTCAAGGGCATGGACCTTGTTTGCAGTTCAGTCCCTGGTCCTGCCTGGCTGGGGTCATGCGGAAGGCAACCAGTCAATGTGTCTCTCTCACGTCGATGTTTCTCTCACTCTCTATGTCCATCCTCCCACTCTATGTGAAGATGAATGGAAAAATACCCTTGAGTGAGGATTTTTTTTTAACGGTGAACACTGAATAAGGTCTGTAGTCCACCTAACAGAGATGCACCAATGTCCTATTCCTGGCTTTGATGTTACATTGCGGCCACGTACTATGTCACCATCGGCGGGGCCAGGTGGAGGGCACACAGACTGTACTATGTCCCTGTGAGTCTATAATTACTTTAGAATGAAAGGTTAAAATGTATTTGAATTCCTTTTCATAAATAGTGCGGCTGAATACCAGGCTACGACTTCTTGTCTTGTTCTCCCTGCTACACAAAACTGGGGGGAGGGGGAGAGTAGAGTTACTACAGTCCCTCCCCACATCCAAGCAGACAGCCAATTCGCCCTGGTTCTCTGCCCCAAAGGAAGAAATTATAGGCCTGGCTTTTCCAAACCCTGGGCTAATCAAGGTGATGAAGCTGAGACAGTCCCTGAAAGAAAGGGCTTGGAGCTTAGGGCTTAGAGTTGGGGAGAGGGAAGCAGCCAGATTGAAGACAAAGTGGGCAGAAGGAGGGGGTTTTTCCAGGACTGGTGCTACCCACCCAAGTCCTGCTGAGCCAGGAACCACAGGGGCAGCCAGGTAGCCCTGGGCGCTGTGCATGGGACCAGAGCCCTCTCCCCTTCCAGTCACCACCAGGGACTCCAGGATGACTCCAAGACCCTGGGGGGGGCGGTGGTCCGAAACACTTCACCCAGGCTGAATTTGCTGGCGGCCACAAGGGGGAGGCACAAAGCAGTTATAATGACGTCTAGAGAAACACAGGGAGCTGCCATCCCAGTGCACACAAGTCTTAGGTACCAAATGCAGGCCCACTGAACCACGTTCTCGGGCTCCCTCGTGGAGCGTCGGGTGAAGGAGGAAGCGCAGGAGCACGGCTGTTTCAATGCCATGGGCCAGGAGAAAAATGTAAGAATCCATGAAATCTCAAGAAGGCTGTCAACCACCACCACAACAATAAAGATGGTTGTCAACAGAGCCCGAGTTGTCTAAACGACTTGGATTTTTCTGGGTTGTAGTATCTAGAAGCTACCAGAATGTGTCTAGTGCTTTGAAAAGCAATGCTGGGAAGGTCAAACACTGAGCTCGAATTGGCCTTTCTTTTACTACAAGGAAGCCTGTGTAAGCCTGGGTGCACAGCGGGGAGGGATGATGACCAACAGTCACGACTGCCGTCCCAGCTCAGCGTCTGCGAGCAAACCCCAGGACCACAAAACAAACACGAGACTGTTAGCACCAATGCAACTTCTGAACATCAGACAGCCTGTCTCCTTTTACATTTCAATGAACTTCCTGGATATTCAATCCCAAAGCTAATCATGTTATCATGTCATTTTTAATCTGTTTATTGACAAATCATGGGGTTGTCTTCTTATTCAACTGAATTAAAGTCAGTCAAAGAGCATGTATCACTTATCAAATGAGAAAGTCAGAATCTGCCTTTATTAGAATAAATTTTATTAAAGAACTGAAAAGTGAGTCTGATAATGTAACGTTAATAATAGTATCTTCATCTAAAACAAAAAAAATGTCTTTTTTATTGTGGTTGTTAATTCTCACCCAAGGATATTTTTCCATTAATTTTTAGATAGAGTGGAAGGGAAGGAGGGAGAGAGAGAGAGAGAGAAACATCAATGTGAGAGAGAGACATCAATTGGTTGCCTCCCGCATGACCCCCAGCTGGGCCAGAGATCAAACCTCTAACTGAAATATATGCCCTTGACCAGGGATTGAACCCACAACCCGCAGGTTGACACCCTAACCACTGAGCCAAACCAGCCAGGGCCAAAAAATGTCTTTTACTTAGCAATATTTTTCTTTCTTTTGTTCTTTTAATTTACTTTTTTTAATCCTCACTGAGGATGTTTTCATATTATCTTCAGACAGAATGAAAGGAAGAGAGAGATACACACACATCGATGTGAGAGAAACACATTGACCGGTTGGTTGCCTCTGGCACAACCCGAACGGGGCTGGAAATGAACCGCCACTGAGGTACCTGCCCTTGACCGGGAATCGAACCCACGACTCTTTGGTCCGCAGGCTGATACTCCAACAGCTGAGCCAATCCGGCCGGGGCTTAGCCGTGTTTTTCATCATAGCGCATGCAAACTAACAAAAATGATTATTTCCATTCCTATCAGAATTCACAAGGTTGTAATCTACTTTGGACAGGGCTCACAATTTTACCCGTGTGATGGACGGCTTCCCACTTCACAGAACGAGCCCCGCCCAGTGGCTGAGAGGGGGAGGAGCCTGCCCCCGCTGTAGGAGGTGGGGTCAAGGGGAGAACCCTGCCTTCCTCCTGGTCTCCTGGGAGAAAGGGACTGGGTGTCACGTTCTTATCTTCGTCTCTGTCTTAGAAGAAGCAAACTGAATCTTGACATATAAATCAATAATACTGTAAATGCCTTAGGCAATTCATGCCAAGTTCAAAGTATAAAAACAGATTTTTTAATTACAAGATAATGAAATTGTCACTATATTTAATTTAAATTTATTATTTCTGAATTATACTGGCTACTATGAAGCCCCATTTAACTTCTAGGTCAAAATGAAAGATTTCACCTTTCTTCAAAACAAAAACGACTTCAAAGAGTCTTACATTGTGAATATTCTTAAATAGCAATCTTCAAATATGAGGAATTCACTGCCTCAGCCCCTCCCAAATGTAAATCTTTTAAGATGAAGACAAACTGATGCCCACCCCCATGTGTCACAGGGGGCGTATCAGCCTTGGTGCCCTTCCTAGTCACCTCCATGTGCCGGGAACAGGGGTCCAATGATCTTAAAAGCTGTCCACATTTCTTTGGAATCAATACATTGGTAAAAAGGCAAACCATCAGGGTTCAGTAAATAGTCTTTGCGACATCTGGATCAACGCTGAAGTCCACTGAAATTCTCCCAAGGAGAGGTTCAGCCCAGTGCCGGCAGCTCCACCCATTCAGAGCCCCTCTGCACCTGGGTCTCCCCCTTACCTGGCCTCCCAGCCACACTTTCTTAGAATTCTTGGACTAAATGGCCCATTTGGCCCATTATCTTAGCTTGGCACGTCCAGAACCAGTTTTCTCCGCCCCCCCCTTCTCCCCGCCCTTTGTCCCGAGGCTCTTGAAATGGAACCCCTTTAGAATGACATCACAGGCCTGGGTGCAGCGGAGAGCTGTGAGTCCCCCACTGGATTTTAATTGGTGTCAGTTTCCCTCCCCACGACCCCCTTTCTTTTCTTTAAGATTTTCTTTTATTGATCTTTGGAGAAAGAGGAAGGGAGAGGGAAGAAGAGAAACATCGATGTGAGAGCAAACATCGAAGCAACAGCCTTTTGCTGCACAGGATGACACCCAGCCTCCTGGGCCACACCAGCCGGGGCACATGGTCCCCTTTCCATCCTCAGCTCCTACTGGCTTCCCACAAACGCTTTAGCTCCGCGTCCCCGTGGGCAGTGCTCTCGGTGGATGGATGCTCATGACCAAGGAATAAGGTCCCTTGTTTTATAAAGAACAAGAACCCAACCTACCCTAACAATACAACACCAAATTATTCAAGTCCTGTCTAGACTGCCCCTGCAGACCCGGGTTCAGGGTCCTTCCTCTGCCCTCCGTTTAGCCCTGTACCCATCTCCCCCACAGCACTTAACGCGTTAGGTTAAAACGACCTACTCCCTCCCTGGCTGCACACCCAGCTCCTTCTTTTCATCCTCACTCTTGAGTGCCCAGAAAGTTCCTGGCACCTGGTGGGAGCACCACACGTGCTCAGAGGGCAGAACTGCGTCCAACAGAACTCACCGTCTCCTCTCCGGCTTCGGCAGGGTCGCCCGCGTCCTCCTCGCCCTCTTGTGCCTCGTTTTCTCCGCTTTCCTCAGCCTTCTCTGCTCCCTGGTTACAACGGAAACCACCGTCTCACTCACCTGAGATAAGCTTCCAAGGACACACCAGGCTGCAGGTGCTGTGGGTTTTTACTTGGATACGCAGCCTATCAACGAGCAAGTGTAGACGTCCTGTTTGGGAGTCGCTGAGCTCCTGGTGCTGCGCTTTCCCACCCTCGTCATCTCACACATAAACCAATTACTAACATTCTGCGCAACACACAACATGTGTTCTACTTCTGGCCAGTCTGATCAAAGAAATAGGTATAATTTTGATTCATTCACACCAGACAGCTATTGTGTTGGCCTGTTGTCATTTTTTCATTTGACAGCTAAGGGAAAAGAGGTCAGTGCCGCTGACTACGTAGTCAGGTCCTGCACGTTTCAAAAATTCGTGCGGCACCCCAGTTGAAAATCACCGCGCTAGGGTACAGGGTCATCGCCCCTCGAAACTGCTGACTGGCGCTCTTGGTGAAATTCAACAGAGCTGACTCACGAGCACGTGGAGTAATCAACTCCCAAATGAAGAGTTTCAATTTACCCATTCAAGGTTTAAGAAGGGAATGCCAAGGGATTCGATCATCAGGCAGTGTTTGTTTTCTGGTGTTCATGTGAAAGGGAGGCTTGATAATCTTAGAGATTTAAAGAGATGACAGATGACAGATAGATAGATAGACAGACAGATAGATAGAAAGAAAGAAAGAAAGAAAGAAAGAAAGAAAGAAAGAAAGAAAGAAAGAAAGAAAGAAAGAAATAGAGGAAGGAAGGAAGGAAGGAAGGAAGGAAGGAAGGAAGGAAGGAAGGAAGGAAGGACAGGAAGGAAGGAAGAAGGAAGGAAGGGAGGAAGGGAGAGAGGAAGGAAGGAAGGGAGGGAGGGAGGAAAGGAAGGAGGAAGGAAGGGAGGAAGGAAGGGAGGAAGGGAGGGAGGAAGGGAGGGAGGGAAGAAGGAAGGGAGGGAGGGAGGGAGAGAGGAAGGAAGGAAGGAAGGGAGGGAGGGAGGAAGAAGGGAGGAAGGAAGGGAGGAAGGGAGGGAGGAAGGAAGGAAGGAAGGAAGGAAGGAAGGAAGGAAGGAAGGGAGGAAGGGAGGGAGGAAGGAAGGAAGGAAGGAAGGGAGGAAGAAGGGAGGAAGGGAGGGAGGAAGGGAGGGAGGGAAGAAGGAAGGGAGGGAGGGAGAAAGGAAGAGAAGGGAGGAAGGGAGGGAGGAAGGGAGGGAGGGAGGGAGGACAGATGATAGACAAGGTAGACAGACAGACATATATAGAAAAATAAGGACCAAGTTGACACTCGGAGGAAACTGGCTGCGGCAAGATGGTTGGAGACAGCAACTCCTACCTCTGTGGTGCTCTGTGCCTCTCCCACAACGTCGCCATTGGGAAGGGAAGATTCTTCCTCAGGCGTCTTTGATACCTGCATCATACAAATTGAAATGTTTGAGAACTGTTTTGAGGATAATAGCTTGCACAACAACATCATTTAACTTTTCAAGTTTCTCGTCTTTGTCCCTCATTTTCATCTTCACAACAGCACTGTGACCTCAGTAGGAAGGACAGTCCCTACCACTTACCCCTTAGAGACAAAAAAAGAAAGGCAGAAAGTGTCACATCAGAAGTCAGAGACAGCCCTGGCCGGGTTGCTCAGCGGTCAGAGCGTCGACCCCCGGATCAGAGAGGCCAGAGACAGGGCTAGGTCTATACCTCCTACTCTACGCTCTTTTGACTGACCCGGCAGGCTTTTAAAACATCGGGTTGTTTTTCTCATAAGAAGAAAGAAAATTTGTAACTGCATGAGGTGATGGCTATTAACTAAACTTATCATGGTTATCGTTTCACAACATATACACATATTAAATCATTCTGTTGCACACTTTAATGCAATGTTACATGTGAATCAGACCTCAAAACTGGAAAATATATTGTTATTTTTACTACAAAGACACTTCCAGCCTGTGGGAAAAAACGAAGCCATATACACACCCTCCAGCTCCACCCTCCTGTGATAATCAATATTAAAAATTTGATATGGCTCAGCTGATGTGACTCGACCCATGCACAGAGCGGTCACTGGTTCGATTCCCGGTCAAGACACATGCCCAGGTTGTGGCCAATCGATGTTCTCTCTCACCAATGTTTCCATCTCTCTCTCCCTCTCCCTTCCTCTCTCTCTAAAATCAATAAAGAAAAAAAAATGTTTTGATATGTACCTAATTCTATCCTAATACACATACATAGAGGTAATTTTTTACTGTTGTTTATTGTTATTTCTGTTTTACTTTTGTGCTTTTTAAAACAGAAATGGGAACATACTATGTACAATTTGATTTTTTAACTTATTATGTCATGGACATTTGTCCAGATTAATTAATGTGGTTCTAATACATTCTCTTTATAATCTGTTTAATATTAAATATATAATTTATTCAAATATTTCCCAATTGATGGTTTTTCTGAAAGTTTACATGTTTGCATCTCTGTAAACAAAACTATACTAAACCAGATAAAATGGTGGGGGTTTTTAATTAGATTTCTTTCCAAAAAGAGACTTAGTAATTCCTATTCTCATAGTAATACGTGCATGTGCTCTTTGCCTTCGTCACACCAGTAAAGAGGGTTGCTCTTTTTAATCTTTGCCAACCCATTCAGGAGAAAATGGAATTTCATCTCTGTTTTCCTAATTACTGGAAAGAAAGGGCATATTTTTTGTGAATTTTAACCATTTACATTTCCTGCTCAGATAATTGTCTTCGTATGTTTTGCCCATTTTTACTGAGTTGTCTTTATTATCAATTTTAGAGGTTCTTTGTATAATAGAAATAATAGCCCTTTGTGAAATTACAAATTTTGTCCAGTATACAATTTTTTACAAATGTTGTATATATACTTTTTAGTTTTTAGCATTTTATGCACACAAATTTATCTAACTTTTATTCTCTAAAATGTGGTTCTATTACTTTATATTAGTTGTTAACATCTAGAGCTTTAATCCATCTGGAATTTAATAGCATATACTGTAAGGTTTTCTTCCAGACACATGGAAAATTATGCCTGAACTATTTATAAGTCAACATTTTGATCTGTTAATATGCTATTCTATATATAAACATATTCATGGACAAATTTATTGGTTCCTATGCCAATATGCTACTTTATCACTGTAGCTTTTAACATGAATTTTAATACTCAGAAAGGCAAGTTGACACAAAGTTTCTTTACATTTTCTAGGCTCTTCACAGACATTTATTATTCCAACAAGTGTTAAGATCATTTTTTCTAGTGTCAAAATGTTTTAAATAGATTTTTTATTGAAATAGCACTAAGTATATTAGTTTAGAAATTTTCACTTCTTAGTGGTAAGTCATCCTACCCAGGAATTTCATAGGTTCCTCTATTATTTTTGTATTTGCTGGTGTCCTTTAGAATAAAGTTAAAATTACATTTGTCATATAGGTCTTATATGCTTCTTGACACATTTTAGAGATTTTTATCACTATTGTAAATGAGGGGTTTTTTTACATTTTAACTTCCTACTTGTTATTGATGATATAAATAAAAGCTAATAACTTTTGTATATTTTTCTTTTATCCAGAAATTTAATAAGCTATCTTATTAATTCTAATGAATTTTATTGGTGTTTCTTGATATTTCTATGCATAAAATTATATCATATAAAATAAAGATAATTTTTTAAATTTTATATATAGTATATATATGAAACCTATTTATTTTCTTACATTATTGCAATTACTACAGCTTCTAAAACAATGTTTAATAATATGATAATAACAGGCATGCCTACCTTGCTTCTAATTTTAATAGAAATGTTTCAATATTTCATGGTTTCATGATACAGTTGTCTTTTGATAATTGGTTTTTATCATATTTAATCTGTTTCCTTCTATTTATATTTTACCCTATATTGTTTTAACTAGGAATATCTAATGAATTGTATCAAATATCTTCTTGATATTTATGGATGGAAACATATGGTTATTCTCCATTCATCAGTTCATGTAATGACTTATGTTGACAAAACAAATTCTGCTGTGATTATGGTATATTATCTTTAATTTATTGCTGGATACAATTTGCTGATATTTCAGACTTTTTCCTTAACAGAGATCTAAGTATAACCAAAAGTGTCATATGTAGAAACTGGTCAAGGATTTAATCTACTTCATTTGTCTGTTCAAATTACATATATACATATGTGTGTACATGCATGTTTGAACTATACATATTCAAATCATATATAAATTAAATACATATATACATACACATGCACATAGACACATTTTCTCTCTTGTATTTGATTAATTTTGGCTTTCTTTTTATTGTTTCACATGTCCTAGTTTCTAATTTTGTTTCTTGTTCCTAATTTTTAAAGTTGAATACTCATTTTACTAATTTTTTACCTTTCTTTTTAATTATAATAGTATTTAAAGTTAGCAATTTTCCTCTGTATAGAGATTTAGCTATATATTGGGATTGGGGTATGAAATAATCTTTTGTTTATTATTTAGTGATTTGTGATATCAGTTTTATTTTCCCTTGGATATGGCGCTATTTGAAATGGCGTATATTTGTTTCTAAAATTTTTTTTAATTTCTCTTTCAGATTGTAATTCTGTGTATAGGATAAGCATCCAGTCTATTAAAACATCCCTTTTCGCAATTTATGCAGGTTTTCTGTGACCAGGTGTGTGACCGCTTTAGAAATTGTTTAATGAACACAAGAAAAAAATACATTCTATCAATATCTATCTAATATATTCTTATTCTTGCCTGTGTGTGTATACATATATTCTATACATATCTATTAAATTAAGTTTGCTCATTTTGTGTGTATGTTTAAAAGAGTACCTTAGCCCGGCCGGTGCAGCCCAGTGTTTGAGCGTTGACCCATGCACCGGGAGGTCACCGGTTCAATTCCCGGTCACGGCACATGCCCACGCTGTGGGCCCGGTCCCCAGTGGGGAGCATGCAGTAGGTGGCCAATTGATGTTCTCTCTCATCAATGTTTCTATCTCTCTCTCTCCCTCTTCCTTTCTCTCTCTAAATCAATAAAGAAAAAAATTGATAAAAAAATAAAATAAAAGCGTGCCTTATATCATTTTCTATTACATAATACCCCTTTTACTTAGTTAATGCTTTCAGCTTTAAATTCCTCTGTATTTGATAGTATTAATGCTACTCCAGTTTTCTTTTTGTTTCTATGTGCCTGCTGTATTCTCACCCCTGTATTTCCGTTTCTCTTTGAGTGACCGTTTTACTGTGCTCTCATAAATAGCAAATGGCTCAACCCTTGTGAAAACGCAAATTCACTGACAGCTCCCGTTCCAGAATAGCCACGTAATCTCCTCCAGAACACAATCCTCCAACAGATGATGACTAAACTCTAAATAAAATGTTTCTAAATAAAAATATTTAAACATAAGAAAAGAAAAAACAAGAGGAGAATGAACCAAGGCAAGAAGATTCTAGAGAAAGTTGACACTTAAAAGATGAGATGATTTGCACACTGTGTTCATAGCTCAACCATGTTCATATTATTCACAAGAGCCAAGAGGCGGAAACAACCCAAAGGCCATCAGTGGATGAATGGAGAAACAAAGTGTGGGGCTCAGCCGGTGGGGCGCGGTGGAATGAGTGTCATCCCATGGACTGAGAGGTCCTGGTTCGATTCCCGGTCAGGGCACACGCCCAGGTTGCACGCTCGATTCCCAATAGGGGGCGTGCAGGAGGCAGCCAATTGATGTTTCTCTCTCTCACATCTATGTTTCTCTCTTTCCCTTCCTCTCTCTCTAAAAAAAAATCAAAAATCAATAAAACATATATTAATATATATTTATATATATTATATATATATATTTTAAGTGTGGGATATCAACAAAGTGGGAAGTATCTAATTTGAGCACCAGAAAAAAAAAAAAAACAAGATGTTCTTAAGTGAAGAAAGCTTCAGGGAAGTATGGAATAATAACAAAATGTTTAACACGTGTAATTAGAGGGCCTGAAGGAGAGGTAACAAATTCCCCATTCATACACAGTATCCTTATAATGGATATTCTCACAAATGTCCTTTTCACAAGTCCCCTTCCACATCCCTAGATTTTTCTGAGCTAGTTTAAAATTCTTGATTTCAACATGATTACCATGTCTTTCTTTTTAAAGTGGTTCTCAACATTAGTGGCATGTTAAATTCACCAGGAAGCTCCCCCCACCCTAGAGATTATGGCTTAATTGGTTTTAGACACAGTCCTTCCATTTTATAGTTTTACCAGCTACCCAGGTGATTCTGATGTACACCCAGGATTGAGGCTGGCTGCCAGCATCTACCCTTCTTCTTGTTCCTCTTGGGGAAGAGCACCTCCCTGGGGCCTGCCCGGCCAGTTCACGCTCGCTGTCCGCCCAG